GGGTATTTTCTTGATAATGTATTTGGGTCGTGTCTGGTCTTCTGTCTCTGGCGTTGGTTCTGTTGGGAAAGTATAGTTATATTAAAAGCTCATTATATGTTAGTAGCTAAGACCCTGTCACCAACATGAACACAATACATAAGACAAGTTAGTTATCACAATTCTGTATCTCCTTGCCGGGGTCAGGAGGTACATATAGCTTGATGTTTTTGAAATTATGAGTTGACTGTTGACCATCTTCTAAGATTACCACTACGGTGTTATTCGTTCGTACTTCGGTGATAAGATAAGGTCCTCGATATAGCAAGAAGAACTTTTTTATGGTATTATCTTCTAGCGACGATAATTTATGTTCTCGTATGAGGACTTGTTGGCCTTGAGCATAATTAGGGAATTTCTTTCCTTTGTTATGGTATTCACATCGGTATTGCGCGGTCTTCTTTAGTCTTTTATATGCCAGTTGTATAATAGTATTCTTTTCTTCATTTAACAATAGATCGTCAGCCGGGATCAGTTTGTTCAGTCGAAAACTGTGTCGGCGTCTATCGACTAGTTCTTGTGGGGTATAGCCTGTGGATAAGTGAGTGACATTGTTGAGCCAATACTCGATCCTTGGTAAATGCCCTACCCAGGCGGTATGTTTCTGGTAGCAAAAGGTTCGTAGTATGCGACCTATTTCTCGGTTCGTCCTTTCAACCGGATAACCTTCGGGGTTATAGGTAGTTGTGACGATGTGGTGTATCTTCCACAATTTCATCTGTTTCTCCCAGGCTTTGCTATGGAACTGCGTACCGTTGTCCGTGAGAATGCTTTGTACGGGACCAAAGGCAGGTAAGTACTTATCTCGCAGTTTTTTTAATATATTCCCGGCCGTTGCTTTCCTCATAGCATAAATTTGTACATGCTTCGTAAATAGGTCCAATAATACTAAAATGTATTGATTTCCAAACTGTCCTTTTGGTAACGGCCCCATCAAGTCCAGTGAAATCCTTTCTTTGGGTTTCTCGGGAATATTTGCCATCAACGGTCCCCTAGTATTTTGGTTTGGAATCTTGCTTCTTTGACATAAATCACATCGCTTGATTATTTGTTTGATGGTGTGGTACATCTTGTGTATCTGATATTCTCTTCGTAGCATGTCGTGTACTTTAGCTGCTCCAAAATGTCCGAATAATTCGTGAGTTTCTACCACTATGTCTTGTACCATAATTTTGGGGAGCATGAGTTTCTCTCTTCCATTTTTATCGATGAAGAAGAGTAATCCCTGGTGTATTTTGTACCTGTGGGTTTCATGCGTTTTGATGCGGTCTCGGATAGTATTCAACTCTTCATCCTGGTCCTGGAGATCCTTCATCTGTTCGAATTGTCGTAAGAGCTTCGTGCTATACTGGTTGTATAGCATTTTATTGATGTAGATAGTTGTTTGTTGTATTTCATCCCTGTCCCCTGGAATTTGTGGGTAGCGGGTTAAAGTGTCTGCTCCAATGTTGTCCTTTCCGGGAACATGGGTTATTTGCAGGTCGAACTCTTGTAGTTTGATGGCCCATCTCATCAACCGCGCATTCAATAGTTGGCATTGATTGAGGAACGTCAGTGCTTTGTGGTCTGTAATAACATTTACCCGATACCCCAATATATAATTCCTATATTTGGTGCATCCAAAAACAATTGCTAATAATTCAAGTTCAGTAGTAAAGTAATGCTGTTCTGCGTCTTGCAGTTTTCGACTAGCAAATCCTAACGTTCTATGCCGTCCTTTCTCGTCCAGTTGATATAGTTCCGCTCCTAAGTGCGTTTTTGACGCGTCGGTGGCCAAATAAAACTCTCTGGTGAAATCCGGATATTCAAGGACTATATCATTCAAGAATTGTTCTTTTATAGTTTGGAATGCCTCGCGTTGTTCTTCGTTCCATTCCCACTCGGTATTCTTCTTGGTGAGTTGGCTTAGAACGGTCGTGTATCTTGACATATCCCTTATATATTGACGATAGAAATTGATGAACCCTAGAAAAGATTGCACTTGCTTTTTAGTCTTAGGTTCTTGGAAGTTCTGTATTGTTTTTATTTTGTCTGGGTCCATGATAAGTCCCTTTTCAGAAATTATATGTCCCAGGAATATAATTTGACTGCATAGAAATTGTGATTTCTTCATATTGATTGTTACATTATACTGCTGGAAACGGTGGAAAATTTTCTCTAGGCGGTTCATATGTTCTGAGAAAGTAGTCGATGTGACGTGGATATCATCCACGTATACAGCTGTGAATTGTAACACTTCCGATCCTAAGACCTTGTCTAAAATTTTCTGGAACTCTGCTACCGAGTTTATAAGTCCAAAAGGGAGAACTTTAAACTGGTAGTTTCTTCCTCGGTATAAGAATGCTGTGATTCCCCTGCATTCTTTCTTTAGTCGACATTGCCAATACCCGGCCGTTAGGTCTATTGAACTTAAGTATCTGGTTCCTTGAAACTTCATTAGGATCTCGTCAATGTTAGTGGGTCGTTCTCGGTCCGGGACTATTCGGGTGTTAATTTTTCTCGCATCCAGACAGAGTCGTATCTCTCCGTTTTTTTTTTCGACTCCAACAATGGGAGACGACCATGGGGAATCTGAAGGTTCAATTATCCCCAAGTGTAACATCCGTGCCAATTCCTTATCCATTTTCTCTAATTTGGAGATAGGTATAGGATACGGTTTTTTATAGATAGGCTCTCCAGGGATGACTTTGATTTGGCATTCATGGGCTGCAATTTTGCCTGGATTCTCTGAGAATATGTGTTCATATTTCCATAATAGTTCGTTGAATATGACAATTTCTTCTGGAAGTAGTTTTCCCTCACTTATTCTTTCCCTGGCAAATTCAACTTGTTGGCATGTAGTACTGTCCCCTGGTTCGCTAGTTTCCTGTTCTCTGAATGGTGTTATATGTTCCTTTTCATTGATATGCCATCTGATCGTTTTATTTTGAAAATTGATCTGTGCGTCATACTTGTCTAATACGTCAGTACCGATGATTCCCCGTTCGTTGAGATTTTCCATCTGCACAAATGTTACCAATATATCTGCTTCATTGAGTTCACATGAGCAGTATATTTGCTTCGAAACTTTACATAGCTTCTTACCGATTGCGTTGCTGATCTGGACTCCACTTACCGGTAGTGTGGGCACACTTGGGTTCTTTTTCAGTATGCGGCCGACGACTTCTTTAGCCAAGACGCTTACCGTGGCTCCGGTGTCAATTAGTAGGTTGACTCTTTCTCCCTCTATGCTGCATTGTAGGTATGGACTGATGGTCTTCTTGTTCGTGGGAATATTATTTATCGTATGTGTGATTTCTTCTGCTGGTTCTTCCCCCTCGTTCTCTTCAACTGTTATCTGTCGAACTTGTTGTTGGTCTCTCCATTGATTACTGTTTTGTCCCGGTTGGTTGCAGTTTCTATTATTTTCCGTATTTTGTGTATTATTATTTTGGTTTTCCCGCCATCTACCATATTGCTGATTGGTGTTGTTTGGTCGGTTATAACTATTGTTATGACGTGGGTTATTGTCATTAGTGTTCCTTGAGTTGTTGCTGTGGCGTTGATTATTGTCATTGCCGTTCCGTGGATTGTTGTCTCTCGTTGGTACTCTCCTTCGATGTTCTTCGGCTCCGAGGACCTTCATCGCATTTAATATTGTTTTTTGTGGTAAAGAAATCAGTATTGCCCTTAAGTATCCGGGGTAGTGTCCAGCAATGTTTTGTACAATTTCACCCTCTCTAAGGTATGGCATTTCCAAGTGTCGGAGATTCGTGGCCCAGTACATGAAGTGTTCCCGATATTTTACGTCAGCCGCGATTTGTGTGACGTTTAGGCATTGGCTCCAGATCTGTATCTGAATCTCTTTGGACCAGTATTCATCGATAAATACTCTTTCAAATTCTTCGTAATTCCTGAGTTGGAATCTTATTGCCAAAAACCAACTGCCCGCAGTGCTTTTCAAACAGTCTTTTACCACAATCAGCTTTTCTTCCTCGTAGATCTGTTTTATTGCAAAATACTCCCGTAGTTCATTTATGAAATCTCTTGGGTGTTGGTCCCGACGATTTCCGTAAAACGTGGGTTTTGTGATGTCGGTGGTTTGTCTTTGAGGCCGACAGTTCTCTTCTCTGAATTGTGTTTGTCTTGTTTCGTCCAAGTTGCGAAACGTATTTAAATATCTTTCTTCCATCTCGTCCATGTAACTTTGGTACCTAATTTCATTGTCTTCCGTCTTTTTCTTATAGATTTCTTCCCATCTCTGTTTTAGTTTTTCTATTTCTTCTTCCATCTTTTTTTCTGTTTCTTCAAGTTTGTTATCGTATTTTCTTTTCATTTCCTTCTCCAGATTTTTTATTCTGTTCTCAACAGATTTTTCTAATGCTTCAATTCTGTCCATAATATTCTCTTCGTTGTTATTAAGTCTCTTTTTCGGAGCCATGTTGATTTATAGATGTAGTAGATGTAGTATTAAGAGCACGACATTCTTAGTGGTGGTCGTTAAAACTCGAGCTTCGCGTTGGGCGCCAAATGTAATGAACGAAACACATATTCATTAGGGTTTATATCATTTATTGTATTGGCATAAACAATTTCATATAACACAATAAAACATAAAACATAAAATATAATAAATAAGTAATAATAATTTGATTTATCCCGTGTGCTGATTATGGGTAAATAGAGATCGGAATATAATTCAAATGTAGTAATTATAATAGATAGAAATTACAAACAAAATATGAGTTTATGTTTTAGTATAATATTGGTAATAACAGAACAGAGATAACACGATCTTGTACAAGCAATGCAAAGATATAGTTTAAACTTACGGTTTCTCACCGCAGATAATCAATATATTAAATTCATCGGCGCACACTACCAAGTTAATATGTACTTCTGGAGCGACAGAATATGATTTACTATTAAACTTCCATATCGACCAGTCTCTATCGTAGGATATCGATCAAGAAATACGGAATATGGTATTAATGCTGTACCCAGACCGTTATACTACTATTGATATGTCGGAAAAAAGAATCGATGTCGTATACGGACGCAAAGAAAAATCGACTACTGGTGAAATAAGGCACTGCTACCAGGCGGTCGGATATAAGTTTACGGACCTTACCCGACTCTGACGGTGCGTTCCCTTACCAGGTATTTAGGTCGGAAAAACGGAATCGATGAGACGGCCGTCGGGGATTATACCTGTACTGTGGATGCCTCATTCCCGACTGAGACTGAGAATGACAACACCCGTTTTCGGTTCCGATGACGGTTTTCCGGGTCGATATGGTTGAGACGGACATTAATCTATTCACTAACATATGCCCAATTTGTCTCAATTAACCCCAGAAAGGACCAGTTAACATATTGTCGGCGGTCCCTGTGGATTATAATGAGTGGTCATTGAGCGCTATCATGTTAGTCGCGAAGATAATGTCGTGTCGGTACGCAGGCGCGTATCAGTGGCGCTGTGGTCCGTACCCTTCAGAAGCGTTACAGGCGTATGAAAATAATTTTAGAGAAATCGCGTAAATAACGGTTGCATCAAAACCGCACTCTTTTGATTTTGACCTAAAAGGTCGATAGCAAAAACCAACAACTTATCGGTCATTGTATCAAATTGCCGTACATTTATAGTGGGTTAAAACCGCACACTATTTTTTAGTTATAATAGTGAAAAGATAAGATTATAAGATATGTACCACAGAATTATGTACTATTCAATAATCAAGTATTTAGTTGTCACTCGTTATTAGGCGGTCTCGATTCGATTAGTGTACCTACGTCTATAATTTAGTATTAAAACGTTGATATCTTAAATTTGTATAATGGATTTTAAAATTATTGAAAGTAATAAAGGGGGAAAGTGCTTATTACTTGACGATTTTAAATACCGAAAATTTCGAGTTAATATTAGTGGAAATGTTGTTTGGCGGTGTTTTATTAAAAATTGTACATCCTCAGTTACAACATGCAGTCAATTGAAGAATATATTAAAAATAAATAAATAAATAACACACACAAACATGAACAGGTGGATACTGTGAAAATTCAAATTCAAGAGGTACGTAATGTATGTAAACGCAAGGCTTGTAATGACATTTATGAAAGACCGCGAAAAATAATACGGAAAGAGGTATTATCCATAGACAATAATGCAGTTATAGGAAGCAATGACGTAAACTTAATAAGGAAGTCGATATATAATGAACGAAGGAAACTTTTACCAAATTTACCGAAAAGTTTGGAGGACGCTCTAAACTTTGTTTCAAATAGCGATATTTTAACCTGCCAAAATGAAAAAATGACCTTCGTGTATAAACAAGATGAAATGATTATTGTTACGTGTAAAAAAAATATTGAATTTTTATGTAATCATTGTGATGAATACTTGGCTGACGGTACTTTTACATACAAACCAAAGTATTTTTATCAACTGTATACTATACACGGATGGAGCAGAAATTATTATTTTCCTTTAGTACATTGTTTTTTACCTTCTAAAACTGAATCGTGTTACTTAAAAATGTGGGTCAATATTAAAAATATATGTTTGGAGTTAAGACAAGTTTTAAATATAAACATTATCCACCTCGATTTTGAGATAGCTGCTCATACGGCTGTGCAAAGCACATTTTCTGGAGTAACAGTTAAAGGCTGTAGATTCCACTTGGGTCAAGCTTTATGGCGGAAAATCCAATCAAAGAATAACCTTCGACAATCATATAATGCTAAGCAAAATGAAACTGGTGAGTGGCTAAAAATGTTTTTTGGATTACCATTTTTACCAGTACATGAAGTCACTGATGCATTCGTTGATTTAATGTCCATATGTCCACAAGATGCATGTTCTGAATTTGGAGACTACATTCCTAACACCTACATTGAAGGACAATTCCCAATGGAAATTTGGACCCATCCAATCAATGCAAATATAACTACAAGGACTTCGAATGGAGCTGAAAGATTTCACCAAGGGTTTAATTCTGAATTTTATTCTCCGAATCCATCTGTATTTATGGTTATTGATGTTTTAAGAAATATTCATATCGATACAGTGACACGTATGAACCAGTACCATAAGGGAATTCAAAATATAATCCGTCCAATTGAAAAACAAAAACAAGTTAGTAAATAGGTACATAATAATAATATTTTTGATTTTTAATTAAATTGTATTTATTTTTAGGAGTATCTGTTTCAATTTTGGGAAGTATTTTTACGTGACGGAGATCGTATGCAGTTTTTAAAAAACGTCGGCAGTCGGTTTCAGCCAATCAAACTTTGAAAGTTTTAAATTTTTTTTAAATTAATATTTTAAATTTTTGAAATTCCTATAAATTTTTATATTAGTGTAGTTATTATAAATTATATTAATTTTTTACATAACCTTTCTGTTCTAAGAATAGACGACGAAACTTCGGGAAGGAAATCGTCGGCACCCAAAGTTGGGGGGCTCAAAACTATTTCAAATAATTTGGGAGTACTATATATCAAAATAAATAAATAAGTATATAAACAATAATTTATTATATTATTTCATAGTATGTAATATCACAGACTATATTTTCATATAGCCTGTGGTATTCGTAGTAATATAGATATTATAATATATAACATAGTAATCATTAGTAATTACTATATAAATTATGCATTTTACCTACCTACCTATATGAAATGTTGTCTTTTTTATTTTGGTTTAAACGACTCTTCATAATACTTTTTATAGATTTTTTTTTTGATAACATTCCTCTAGTTTTTGTTGCCTTCATTGTATTATATACTTACTTATTGAAATCACTAATATATAAAAATAAAAATAAATACATATAATAAGATCTAAGATCGAGTACGGACAGTACGGTAGTAAATAGTATACCAGACGAGTAGACGATTTATAATCGACATTCGACAGGCGTCAGACCTCGGGCATAAAATTCTAAATTATATTCGTTGATTGTTTTCAATAATAATTGTAATACTCAGTTCGTGTTTAACCACCGTCCGTGAAACACGTGTGTTATATCGCTAACGTTTTATAGCTGCCGATAGCACGTCTACCTTATCGTCGTCCAACAGGTAATATGATTTGATCATTATATTAAAACCCCTGCACGCCGTACTATTCGTGTAATGAATAAATCAAAGGGCACAATGCCCAACACCAACACTTCTACTAATAAATTTTCAAATTCAAAAAGCTCAAACGCTTTATCAAAATCAAACCTATCATCACCTTTCAAACAAACAACTAAAACAACTTCGATTCCTCAATCATCCGAAATCACGGCCGCGGCCGTTACAAATCGCTATACTCCCCCCACGCGCAACACCACCAGCAACTCGCCGCAACGTACCAACAATAAGAACAATACACCCTCCTCCTCAACCACACCGCAAGCCGATAACATACACGCCACAACCGCTATCGCGACTCACACTAATTACGATAACTCGACCAGTCCACAGACATCATTAGCACATACCTCCAGTACTACAGTAATCAATAACACAGATAATAATATAAATTTCACATATGCGGCTGCCACGGATAAAACTCCGAGCAGGGATCACGCTATCGTTTTTAATTCTATAGACGGTGTACCTCAAATACAATACATTTTAGCGATCGGAAAAATAGTACAACCTAATAACATAAAATTCGTCTCAAGAATATCAAATAATCATTTTTGTATTTTCTTGTCAAACAAGCAAATTTTGGACAACTTAATGCAAACAACAAATCATATTAATATTCACGACCACGTTATTCAAATACGCAGACTTATAAACCCAGCAAAAAGATTTATCATATCTAATGTATGTCCATCTATTCCTAACCAAGCAATTGTAGATGCCCTAAAAAATTCAAATATTGTTCCAATCTCACAAATTTCACACCTTAAAGCCGGAATCAAGGTAGAAAGCTATGAACATATAATGAGTTTTCGCCGCCAAATCTATATAAATTACGACGATGTCCCCAAACTCCCCAGCTCACTATTAATCAACGTAAACGATAATCAATTCAGAATTTTTTTCACCGACGACAAAATAACTTGTTTTTTATGTAAATCGATTGGCCACACTACATCTAACTGTAATAAAAACACTGAAGATAAACCTAAAAGTGATCATCCGTCTGTTTCCAATGCAACTAACACTTTTGATATTACCACTGAAGCACAAATAGAAGACACTCTCCCTCCCTCAACACCTGATTCAGAATTCCTTGAAAAAACCACTATGGACTGGTCCAATGAACCAGAGCCATCTTCGCTATCAAACATCACTCCGGAAGTATCCCATGACTCACCTCAAAACGAGACCAACAAAAGACATTTCTCCGAATCGTCATCCTCAAAACCCTCATCCTCACCAAACAATTTAAACCCCCCCACGACCATTCCGACCAAGGAAAACGCCAAAAAAAAACCCAAAATACGTTCGCGATCAAACTCGTCAAACAGACAAGAAAACGCCTATGAAGAGGGCCTAAAAACAGTGGAAGAATTCTTTACCACAAACGATTCCTCATCAATTACTTTCCTTCAATTTAGATACATCCTAGATAATTTCACTCTCAAATCAATGAACATTCACACGCTGACCAAAAACACAAATACCGATTTAATATCTCTAATGGACTTAATTGACTCGATTCGAGAGATAGTAAAGGATCGTAAACTCAAATTACGCCTTTCAAAGCTAGCACAACTCCTGTTCCAAGCACTACCCCCTCAAGATTCCCCTGCATAAGCCATACTCAATCAATACAACACACATATAGCTGAACAATCATTTCATCACTCATTTCAAATCTTATAAAAATATATTATCTATGAATCATATTATTCAATGGAACATAAATGGTCTACAAAAGCACCACACTGACATTCACCGAGTAAAGTTCTCCATTCAACCCATTGCTTTCTGTTTCCAAGAAACAAATCTTAGACCCAACGCTTCCTTCACAATACGAGGATACCATGGATACTTCAAAAATCGTCAAACAAATCTCCGTGCAAGTGGTGGCGTCGCCGTCTTTGTCAGCACCCTCATTGAAAGCACGGAAATTCCCATACAATCAAATCTAGAAGTAATAGCTATCTCTTTACACACCAAAAATCCACTATGCATTTGCAATATTTACTTGCCAGACAGTTCCAACTTACTACTCAACGATCTAAACAACATAATCAGACAACTACCAAAACCATTTTTATTCTTAGGGGACTTCAACAGTCGCAACCCAATTTGGGGATCAAACTTCACAGATGCTAGAGGAAAAATCGTAGAAAAATTCCTTGACAACGAACAAATCATTCTTCTCAACACCGGAGAACACACTCGACATAATGTAGCAAATAACTCCTTCTCATCTATCGACTTGTCAATAACCAGCTCTTCTCTGGCACCCAAAACAAAATGGAAAGTTCTCACCGAATACAATTGTAGCGATCACTGGCCGATATCCATAGAGTTACTTGACCAACCTCCCCAAATACCTTTTCCCCCCAAATGGAACACCAGAAAACCTAATTGGGAACTATTCAACGACCTCATAAGTCAATCAATCACGGAGAACCCAATAGAAATTGACTCTCCCATCAATCAAACCACGATAAATTCATTAACCAATAAATTCACACACACTATCCTAATGGCAGCCACTAAGGCAATAGGTAAAACAAACCATAACACCAAAAAGAACCTAGTTCCTTGGTGGAACCACGAATGCAATGAATCAATAAAACGGTACAAAAGATGTCTCAATAAATTTAAAAAATCAAAATCCCCTCTCGACCATATTCAACTAAAAAAAGCCCGAGCTCAATCCAGATATATCACAAAAAAAAGCAAAACAGAAACATGGCAAAAATATACCAGCTCCATCAATACCAACACTCCCTCAACGAAAGTCTGGAATAAAATCAAAGCAATAAAAGGTATACCGTACCACCGTTTACCCTTGGTTCTACAACATAACAATAATTCACTCTCAACACCATCGGATATAACCAAAGCCTTCGCGGAAGTCTTCCAAAAAAATAGTAGCGACTCAAATTACGACCCAGAATTTGCCACCTTCAAAGACACGTTTGAAATGCATACCACATACGAACCAGAGTTAGACCCCCATCCCTACCTAAATTTCTTAAACATGCCTTTCAGCATTTCTGAAATGTTGGACGCTAGATCAAACTGCAACAGCAAAAGCCCAGGACCAGACGATATACCTTATTCTTTCATCAAAAACCTCCCTAGCAATGGCCTAAATCAACTACTTCAAATATACAATTTAATCTGGGAAACAGGTTTTTACCCTGACCCATGGCGCAATGCAATAATCATACCGATTCCCAAACCCAATAAAAATAAATTCAACATATCCAATTACAGACCAATCTCCCTCATAAGCACACTAAGTAAACTCTTGGAAAAAATGGTCAACAAACGCCTAACATGGTTTCTTGAAACATCTAAACTTCTACCCATCAACCAATGTGGCTTTAGGCGAAATCATTCAACCTTAGACCACCTCTCATGTCTACATACTGATATCTGCAATGCAATAAATACTAAACAACATCTTATACTTATTGCACTAGATCTTGAGAAAGCCTATGAAATGGTGTGGCGCAACAGAGTCCTTCATATCATTCATAAATGGGGCATAAACGGAAACATCCTAACTTTTCTTAAAAATTTCCTCACAAATCGCTCGATACAAGTCAAAGCTCACCACAATTTATCCAACTTGTACCCTACTGAAAATGGCCTCCCCCAAGGATCAGTTCTCAGCGTAACCTTGTTTCTTATAGCCATACATGACATATTTCTCCAAGTCCAAAAACCCACCAAACACCTAATCTTCGCTGATGACTGCTACATATACTGCAGTGGCACCAACCTAAATACCACTCGAGAAATACTTCAAAACGCACTTCATACTCTACAAGAATGGGCAAATAAATCAGGATTCATTTTTTCCCCACAAAAAAGCAAAGCCATACAATTCAATCTCAACACAGACACCATCCTTTACCTTAAAAACACTCAAATTCCCTTTCATAAATCACTCCGAATACTAGGTTTGATTTTTGATAATAAGTTAAACTGGATTACGCACCTTAAACAGCTAAAAGTTGCATGCAAAGCCAAATTGAATGTTATAAAAACTCTAGCCAACCATACATGGGGAGCAGATAAAAAGTCCTTGTTAAACATATATAAAACCTTAATTCTATCACAAATCAACTACGGATCTCCAATCTACAATACAGC